GAGTCAGTACTGAGGGTGTGCTGCACTGTTGGAGAACCTATTGTTTAGATGAGATCTTAAACAGAATCCCATCTGCCTGTTTGATGCAAAAGCTCCCATGACAATCTTTCAAAGCTGAGCAGGAGGTTTATCCCTGATGTCCTAATCAATATTTAACCCTCATGGCAGCCTCACTACAAACAGGTTATGTGTTTATCACATAACTGTTTGTGGGAGTTTCCTCTGCACAATTAGCTGCTGCTATAATTATAGTGACTATTTCATTGGTATTAAAACACATTTAGAGGTCAGTGGTCATCAAAAGCTTGATAGAAATGCAAAGTTTTTCCTTTTTAATCAGCTCAGTGATAAGTGGCTGGGGAGTGATTAATCATAACACCAAAATAGCCACTGCACGTTGGCAGACACAGCCAATTGTTATTGCTCGTGCTTCCTTTAGAACCAGGAATCATATATAAGGTAGATGAACGGTAAATCTGAACAGGAATACTTAATTGATGATGCTAACACCTCCACAGCTAGTTCTAGACGAGACTCAGGCTTTGCCTGTCTGGGTCACCCGACCAGTTCTCTTAAAGGGGCAGCACGCCCACCTACATACATAACACCCATGATTTCAGCTTGTCATGCAAGGGCAGGCTGCAGGAAGCATCTCTGCATTCACCATTGATGAGAGGTCGGGGGAAACGAGGTGCAAGTTGGGGCTCCAGTGGGAGCAGAGACAAAGCCAGTGGCAGGAGTGTGCATGGGTGAGTGGGTGGAGAGGTCTGCAATGACAGCCAGCCGCCTGTTCTTGCCTGGAAGTAATGGGAAGGCAGGGTGGAAGAAAGGGAGGTTACAGGGCAGTGGGGGAGAGAGAGAGAGACTGGTAGAGTGAGATAGAGAGGGATGCTGCAAGGAAGAGAGACTGACCTCAAAATAAAATAAACTTCTTTTATTCTTTATTTTACATCCTGCAGTGCCATCTTTAGACAGGTAGCTGCTTCCTGTCACTTGAGAATGACAACAGTTTTGTTTCTGCTGTTTGTGCCAGTTACAGTTGGCATTCCTAGGATACTCTTTCAAATTGTGATGCCTTATTCTGACATGTGAACCCCACTCCATTCAGTCACTCTAGGCTGTAGAAACAGACACTTTAACGTGAAAATTGGACTCCAATTCTTAACAATCGAAATGCTAATCACTATTTGTCCATCCTCCCGACTGAGTCAAACAAATACAAATATATCCAAACCTTTTTAGTGTTGGCACAGTGGTAAGGCCTCAGGAGTAGCAGTCGTGAGACCCAGGCTAACACTTTGGGATCATGGCATGGGGAAATCTGAATTCAATAAATATCTGGAATTAAAAGCTAGCCTTCTGTCAGTTCACTGAAGACCTTTAGAGAAGGGAATCTGTTGCTCTTATCTGGTCTGACCCATGTGTGATTGTAGACTCACTGCAGTGTGGTTGACTCTGAATGGGCCCAACAAGGCACTCATTTTAAGGGCTTGTTGGAGGTAGCAATAAATGCTGGCCCAGTCAGTAATGCCCACATCCCATGTATGAATAAAAAGAAGTGTAATTGATATTAACCTTAAGTTAGTCAGATGCAGCAAGCATGATGAAGAATCATATGGCCTATCCTTAAATCATGAATGTAATAGTTTTGGATAATCCTTTGTCAGGAATGAATACAGTGTAATACAATCCAGACTGTGCTGCAGTAGGAGTCTGAGCAATTGAAACTGAATTAAACTATATGCCTGCAAAGCAACTAAGAAGACAACCAGATTGTTCAGCTTTGAAAACCTAATTAAATAACTGTTTTGGTGATTATAGAGGGGGAAAATATACATTTTTTTAAAATGTGGGGAGGCTGCCTCCAGGCAACTAAATTGGTCCTAATTACTGTTTGAACTTGGAGGCTCCTGCCTACATCAGTTTCGAGCCCAGGTGGAGGAAACATTTACCTTGCCTGTGGCTACTTTAGATCTTTTGAGATTGTGTAACTTCTGTCCTCTCTTCATTCTTTGACAAACTTGGTGCAATATGAATTGTAAATGTAAATAGATCCGTTATAGCTGAAGTCCTTGGGTTACATTGAACCTTAGTGGAGATCAAAATGCTTGCTTTCATTGACTTGTCCAAACTTGGCATGACACTTTTTTTTAATATAGAGGATTATGTGTTGATCCGATTGACGTGGTTAAAATGTGAAAAATTGTAACTCAGTGTCAATACAAGTAAAGTTTAAGGGATTAGAATCTTAAAATTAGAGCTAAGCTATTCATGGGCAAAATCAGAAACTTTTTTTTTTCACAGAAGGAACAGTAGATGTCTGGAATTCTGTCCTCCAGAAGGCTATCAATGCTTGGGAAAGCAGAGCTTGCAAAATTAAAGTCAACATATTTTTGTTAGACAAAGGTAGTAAGTGATCTGACGCTAAGGCAGTTAAGTGGAGTTGTGGTAAAAACCAAAAGAACTGCGGATGCTGTAAATCAGGCACAAAAACAAAGTTGCTGGAAAAGCTCAGCAGGTCTGGCAGCATCTGTGGAGGAGAAAACAGAGTTAACGTTTCGGGTCCGGTGACCCTTCCTCAGAACTGATGGTGGCTGGGTAAACGTCAGTTTATATGCAGAAAATAGGGAGGTGGGTGGGTAGGGAGTAAACGATAGGATAGAGCCCAAAGAGAGAGAAAGACAGTTGGACAGACAAAGGAGTTGCGAACGATCAGGCTGGGAGGGTGATTAGTTGTTAATGGGGACTGTTAGTGACTAACAACAGGGGGTCTGTAATGGCAGGCTATGTGGTAACAAGGCCTGGTGTGTGGGGTGGGGGGCTGGAGTTGTGGTGTTTAGTTGTTGAGTGTCTTCCTCCCATTCCTGACATGGAGGATATGTTTTGGAGATAAGGCAGTTTCATTCAGAAACAATGCCTCCAAAAAAGGTAATGATTCTCACCAGGAAGACCTTTTATGTCTACTGTTGAATTTGTTTGGAGTTTATTGCCTTCACTGTGCAATTCAAAGGACAGTTACAGATGAAAGCTGAAAATGCTCCATCTGGAAAGTTGTTCAGATTTGCAATATTTTATACTTTTGTTAAACTATAGTCTGGTATTCAGTGGGTGAAGAAAGGAAATCCATATCAGTAAATGTGCCAATTAATTTCTTCTGGAAATAATCTTGTCTGTAGTTTCTTTGGATCTTTAGAGATGGTGGAATTTCTGTATAGGAATACATTCAGGTAATTTTATTTTTGAGACTCTGCTGGCATTTTTTTTCAGATTAGCATATGGGATAAGATCTGTATTTGAAAAGAGAAAAGAATGTGGTGCAATGGAGAAGGAGTAGTGGAGAGGGATTGATTTGAAAACCTTTTGAAAGCATCAGCATGGTAGATAGAGATAACAAGGTGTAGAGCTGGATGAACACAGCAGGCCAAGCAGCATCAGAGGAGCAGGAAGGCTGACATTTCGGGCCTAGACCCTTCTTCAGAAAAAATCCTTGTTATCTCAGATTCTCCAGCATCTGCAATTCCTGCTATCTCTGAAGCATGGTAGATAGATTGGTCTTCTTCCCTGTTGTACTATTCTACACATGCTATTGTGAAACCTGCAATGTCATGGAGTATCTCTAGCCTCTATTTCTGAGAATACATTTTGTTCAAGAAATTTCTAGATGTCAGTTGGTTGTCGAACAATATCGTGTCAGGTTCGTGGTGTTCTGGTACGCCTCTTGGAACACTTGTAGAATTTCTCCAAACTTGTGTTTTCAAAAATATTAGAAATTGGCAAACACCAGCTGATTTGGTTCAATGCTTTCAAGCAAACTGTGTATTCGATCCCTACTACCTTGGGATTCAAATGCACGTGTCAACTAGGTACTACAAATGCATAGCTCATTGTATTGTTGCAATCAACACAGCGAAGCAAATGGGATGAGCAGGCTGAATCAAAAGTAGTGATCTATGTCTCTCTAATCAATTTTTTCACTCCTGCTGAAATATGTTGAAATGCCTGGTTCTGTGGCTTAGTAAATTGGCGCGTTTGGCTGTTACCTGCAAGTTTGGTGGTTTGAGACCACCCGAAGCCAAAGTTTAAGTCTATCTCTGTGGTGCAATTGATTAGTGTGTTTGGCTGTTAACCGAAAGGTTGGTGGTTTGAACCCACCTAGAGGCGATGAGTTCCCTTGCTTTTTAGGGTGGCACGGTGGCTCAGTGGTTAGCACTGCTGCCTCAAAGAGCTAGGGACCCGGGTTCGATTTCAGCCTGGGGCAACTGTCTGTGTGGAGTTTGCACATTCTCCCTGTGTCTGCGTGGGTTTCCTCCGGGTGCTCCGGTTTCCTCCCACAGTGGATTGGCCATGCTATAGTGCCCAGGGATGTTTAGGTTAGGTGGGTTACACATGTAAAATCAGGGGTGGGATAATGTGTCTGGGTGGGATGTTCTTCGGAGGGGTAGTGTGGACTTGTTGGGCAGACTGGCCTGTTTCCACACTGTAGGGATTCTATGAATTGATGAGTTCCATAAGTTTCTATATATCCCATGTAGCTTCCTTTGCCTGTGTTCTGTTGTTATGCCATCTAATAAACCAAAGATGGACCTACCTTGTTAATTGCAATACTTAGTTTATCAATATTGTCTAATCAACCTGATCAGTAATGTTATTACTCAGCTCAAGAGCAGGTTGGACTTGATCTCAAGGTTCCTGACCCAGAGGTAGGGATACTAACATTGTTCCACAAGAAACTTAAATTGTATCACAAGAGTTCACTAAAACATTTACTTACACTGTTGATTAATTCAAAATTGTTTAATTAGATAATAATTCAAATTAAGCATGATTCACATTTTCCATTGTTATTTATATTACTTAATTAAAATTATGTAGTAATTGAAAACTTGTGGTGCAGAAAATGACATTGAATTTTTACTTGTATACTGCATAAACTGCTGGTTACGATGTTGAATATACAAGTGCAATCTTTTGTGTTTATTTTAAATGATAAAATGCACTTCATCTTCTACACACCCTTTTGTATCCTTGTTTCAGGTACAGTGTGCAGTTGCGTAAAGGGGAGTTATCTTTTCAGCGCCTTAATGTTACTGAAGTCAGTGAGCAGTTGAGTTTGACTCCAAATGTGATCTATTTCTCGGATGGTAATGCAAGTGTACACAAGGAGGTGGGAAGTGGGTCCTTCACTGTGATCACAAAGAAAAACTGCTACTTGTAAGTAACTTTCATTTTGTGTCTACTGCATGAATGACGCATATTGATAAAAGCAGCTGTAATCATTTTCTGGTCTGAGCTCTCCAGAGCAACATTTCAACCAAAGCTGTCTTCGATCCTGCTAAAGGAGGCATTAGAGAATTTTAAAATACATTACACAGAATACATTTTCAAACTGGAGGGGACCAGTGACGGAATCAAGAGCTGCATAAGGTCATCAGATTTATGTCCTCTCATCTTTCTTATTTATTTGTATTGGTTATGTCCTTGACTTGTTAGCTCTCTTCCTGTTTAGTGAGTGAAAAAAAAAATCTGCGTGGATATGCATTAAAGAGACAGTAATTTCTTCCGGAAATTAGAAACTGAGGTTCTTAAGATACGGTCAATATTTTCAGAGGGCTACTCTGTAGAATTGTTCAATAACCATATTATACTACCTATCTTTTCAATTAGAATTCTGACAGACTAATATTTTATTTCGTGAGTAATCTAATCCCTCTATTAATGTTTAATGCATCTCTTTCTATATTTTAATAATTGTAGCTACCATGTACTATCCATTCTGCACCAATTAACTGGAACTCCTCCCCCACTTAAACACCATCATTAATTTTTGATTTGAATTGATGAAACTTGCAAAACATTCAGACTCTAACGTCTTGTTTCAATGACAATCTTTCATAGTTAAAGCTGGCTCCATTACTCTTCATTATTGTTCAAAAGTTACTATTTGTTATACTACCTATTTATAAAAAGTGACAAAACCCCAAGCTCACCAAAACAGAAAGAGTGAATGAATTGTTTTCAAGTGTTGTTAATTGATTAATAAAGCTAAATAAACCAATTTGGGTGTGCTATTTCCAGATTTGTATGCACTATTGCTAGTTTAGACAATGGTTATTTTTATTAATTTGCAGGTAAGTACTTATAGGCATTGGTTATCATGGAAATCCTTTCTAAGGTCCTTCCAACATTTCTTTGAATAGAGAAACACAATTATTTTCCTCAAATCTTCCTCACAACATAGCAGATGCATTCAAAAGATAGTGAATGCTGTAGTTTTATGTTGTGTTGTATTCCTCATCACAGAATTACTAGTCTTAAACTGGATTGGTAAGTAGGAGAGTGTCAATTTCCTTGAATATCTCAGACAGGTTGATTTAATTGACAATCTGATAACTTGCAGTTACAGACCTATGTATAAGCACATCCTTTATCTAGCATGTCGCTGCTTGGAGTCCTTAGATCTGTCAGTCATGCAGTGTTATCCTGTTCCTCAGCTCCATAGTATACTAAGCTCTTAAAGCAGTAACAGAACATCCCCCTTTTTCCAAAGATAAAATTGCATACAGTAAGAGTGACAATATATACACATTCGGTAATTGCACAACAATTTGCATAAAAAAATCAAGAAATGTAAAATTTGAGTTTAAGAATCTGGGAGGCTGTACTGTATAATGTTTAGATGGTTTGACAGTCCTTCTGCATCTGGTGATGGTTTAACCATTCTGGGATCCAACTTCATACTTAGTTGTTCTCTACTTGTTTGTATGTTGGTTTTGTATATTGTTAGAGTGTTAGTTGTTGCTAAATGGGACATAAACCAGGAGTCAGCTTCACTACAATATCCCAGATCCAACTGTTTAACTGAGTGAATGGCTTGCACTGTCAAAGCCTGTACTTTTAGGCTGAAAGCACCTAATGGGTTCTTCAAGGTCTGATCCAAATTACCACAAGAAGACATGCGCACTTCAATGTGAAACAAATTTATTAGCTTAATCTATTTATTATATATTAGAAACATATGCAAACTGATGAGTGAATCTGTTAGCTTAAACTACAAAATATATCTAGAAACAAGTGAGTCTCACACTACCGTCCATCCATTGGGGACTTTAGCGATGGTGGCACTCGGAGGATCACAGATTCCACGGCACTGGCCTCACGAACCTCAGCCCAATGGTGTAAAGTCCAATGAGTTGGGCAAAGCCTCTGACATTAATACTCTTCTGAATCTAAGATTGCATGCTGAATCTCCATTTTGTAATTACTGCAGTATTTTTCTAGCGTTTGAAACATTCTGAAAAGCAAATGCAGTGTGGCCCATGTGATGACACAACAGGACACTTCTCACAGACAATTCAGCTTCACGTGGTTACCTCCCAGTCCAAATCGGCTGTTTTTGTGTTAGGCATGTTTTTCACATACTTTTCAACTTTCCTTCAATTGCTCATTGCCTTAATAGCTTGGCTTAACTATATCATTTTTAAGTTCAATACCTCAAAGCCTTATCATGAAGTGCTTAGTGATAAAGTAGGCTCTTCATATTGTCATGCTGCACCCAAGAGCTCCTTCTGTGGGATACAGGCTCACCATCACCAGCAGACACCAGATTTGGAAGCAAGTTAGCACGAGCCTGTCGCAGTTTGCTGAGATGTATGACAAACTTCCGGAAAGGCAAGGAAGAGTGAAGATGGTGCATGACCAATGGTGCAGTTTTGCCTGATCTGTATGTAGGATAGAAAGTCAGAGTCATAGAGCCTGCCCAAGGAACCTGGTTACTTTCAGAGCTTTCCAAAGTGTGCATGCTGCGAGATCACGATACCTAACGGAGCAACATTGAGGAGAAACGGAAGTCAAATCAGGGAGCTATGTGGGATCTCAACTGTGCATAAAACACCCACAAGACACAAATATGCTGAAATATTGCACCCATTGTATCTATCACAGATACACTTGAAGTGTTCTTTGACTCTTTAACAATTGTACATTTAGTGACTAGGAACAAGTAATCACAAATGTAGTGAATAAATCTGTTGTGACCGCTGGACTGGGATGCCTAAGTTCAAGTCCCACCTGCTCCAGAGATGTGCAATAACATTTGGTTTATTCAGCTTTATTCATTGTCAACAATACATACATATTCAGGAATATTGTGTAATTCTGTCTATATACTGATGGAACAGATCCTGACTGACAGACAAACCAAAATATGCTCTTTGGAAACATTATCTTCCAAATGATGTGGTGAAAGTAGTAAGTTCTTGAGCTTTTTAGCTCATGTGAATTTCTGATTCAGGTCTTTCAGTGTTGGAATTTTATGTGGGTTTCACTTTCGAGCAAGGTTTAGTTGTCTCGGATCCAATCATACCTGATTCTACCTTCTTTCTTTAGCATGCACCTAACTGAATTTGCACCAGTCTATGTGCTGATGTACATGAGGGTACAATACCATTACATTGCATATTTACCAGCTATCTGGAAGGCTTCACCTGCATGTGAACATTGCACTCTCAGAGAAGAGCAATTTATGATGTTACGTATTCTTTGAGGTACAATAGAGCATCATCTAAAGTGGTGAGCTCACTTTTCTCCTGGGTTGAATAGATTTTTCCCATTGTTGTTACCGTGAGGTATTTATGTAACAATCCAACCATTGATTACTACGTTCTATGTAGCAGTACCAAACACTGACGGTTGGGGTACAGTGTTGCCACCAATCTTCCTTTCTATATATTTTGAATTAACCTGTTCTGAGATGTTATTACACACTTCTGGACTAGTTGTGACTTACATACAGCCCTGCTGACCCGGAGGTAAGGACATTACCTCTGTACCACAAGAGCTCCCAATTCCCATTCCTAGATATTTTCAAATCAACCTGTTCAGTGATGCTATTTTACACCTCTAGAGCTGATGGGACGTGAACCCTTTCCTATGCTAAGTCTAAGGGCCTATCTAATTAGCAGTAAGCCACTATTAAGTCATGTGAAGAAAAGACATTTGTCTTACACAACAAGATGCAGTTCATTGGGTGATAGCAATAGTACATGTTCCATTCCTTACAGACCTCATTGGAGATTGATATCAGCATATAATTCTGGATGGCCAATCTTAAGATATCCAGAGGATACAGGCTTGTGCAAAAAGAGATTCTTGGTACTGGGAGTTTAATCCTGAAGAAATATTAAGAAAGTTACATTTGTTTTCTTTGAATATATCCCTGTTACAGTTGGACTTGCTTGATTTTTTTTTGTTGTACACATATTCATTACTATTTCTTAATTGTAATTAATGATTTAAAATATTTTTGTAAGGATTAATGCTCCTTAATTTTATCCTGCCTCATAATATATATTAGCACAGAAGATTAATCCTGATCAAAGATTGCTTTTTGTTCCACATTTGCTGCTCAATCCTAACATGTCTGGAAACAAGAAATGTTAGACCACTGTGTACAGACAATTAAATAAAACTGGATGACTGGTTAATAGCACCATCTTTTGACAAAACTTTGAAAATGAAGCCATCTCCGATGGGAATACATAAGTAGCTCCTTAAACTGTTCTTGTACATTGTATATGTGTGTATATATCATTGAACATTGAAAAGACCTGTTGTATGCCTGAAAGAAATTCTATGTTTCAAGAATATGTTTGCCTTTTAAACCTGAGATAAGACATTTAAAGTGATACTTGGTTGATTGATGTGTCAGAAAAGAATCAAATGCTACTTTAGGAACTACTTGTGTGTCAGCTGGAGCTTTCATGTATCTAAGACTGGTTTTGGGCATGACAACAATCAGAAACTATGGTCTCATTTAAATTTTCAGCATTCTCTGAGTTGGGTGGGGTGGGGAAGGAGGGGAGTTGTGTAGCGGTGAACTTTTAAAGGCAGTCCACTGCCAAGAAAGCTCAGAAGTGAGTATACTGAGTATGTCAATGGCATTTTAACTCCTATTTCCAAACATCCACCACCTCTGTAGGAATAAGTGTTCCCTCACCTCTGTCCTGACTATGTTCCCTCATCCTTAATGTGCCAAACATGAGAAAAAGTTTCTATCTTTTAATCCTATCCATTCTCCCCAGAATTATTCAAAAAGTTTGATAGATCACCATTTGACCTTCTAAGTTCCAGGGAATACAAGCATATTTCTGCAATCTCTTCTCAAAGTTTGATATTTGGAGTCTGAAAGTCATCCTGAAATGCTGTATTGCCTCAGAGGACAATGTATCCTTCCCAAAAATGTGTCTCAAACTGCCTGTGCATTCCAGGTGTTGTTTAACTGTAGTTTTGAATAGCGGAAGCATGATTTCTAATGCCTTGTATTCTACATGTCTCGATAACACAAGTATTCAAAGTCACCACATACTAAGGGTTCCTCTTTCTTGACATTCTTTTTTAAGAAATGTTTGTTACTTCTACTGGTGGATTCTGAAACTTACAGGAAAGTGGGAAGCTAAAGTGTTTTGGAACGGTTTGGTAAAGTATGTATTGATCATTTTGATACCCAAAATAATTCATTTGCCTTTTCTTAATCGTAGATTTCGAATACCATTTACTGACCAGTTAAAAAGTGCAGAAAATGTAACAAGGTACCGGGATGAGTGGATTGATGCTATTGACAAGTGCTGTTTACACTGGAAACGTTTATCGCAAGCACAGCTTGTAGCAGAAGACGATCTAGTTGGGGTTATACAAGATATACCATTCCCAAAGGAACCTGCTGATCAAACTGCATTAAACCAACTTGACTTACCTGCAAACTCAAACCAGGAAGAGGAAAAAGAACAAAAAGAGGATGATAGGAAAGAGGCAGAGGATGAAGAAGGAACCGAACTGGCTTCTCCAGTTACAAAAATGGCCCCAGGATCACCTTTGGAAACAGTCGTTCTTCCTCCAGTGACCCAAAGTCTTCCAGCTACCACACCATTACTCCTTCCTCCGTCAGCACCAGCTATTCCTGTACCTCCTCCATTTCCGATGAAAAAATCAACTAGTGTAGTAAAGAAGACTAAAGCATTCCATTGGGATGTCATTGCCCCAGAAAAGGTCAGTACTTTCATTCATCACGGTTACTTTTTATTCAAACATTTTATTGCCAAACAACAGCTGTGCCTCAGGATTGGAAGACTTTTTTTTCAATGATACCTTTCTCCACAAAAGCAAATCATGTGGGAATGCTTCTCTCACATGATCATCGCTTAGATCTGTTTATGTTGTAACCTGGCTACCGGTATTAGCCTGTTTTATTTCTATGTTTGTTAAATGAAAGCCTGTCAAACTTAATACTGGCCTGCCACAGTCAATTTGCCAATCATTCCTCCAAATTGGTTTAAAAAAAATTCTCTCTTTTCAAGTTTTCAAAGGAGACGGACTTGGGAGGAATGGTAGGGAATGGAAGAAAACAAACTACTTCCAATCAGCCAGGTTTTATGGAAAATAATTTGTTCTGATTTATCTCTACACTGGAAACATTTTATAAAAGCTTTCTGTTAAATGAAAAACTTCACAAAATATTTCTGTTTTATGCTGTCAGTTTTTATGATCAATGAATATAGGCAAATGAGCATTTGCTCCATCTGTAGTCGTATATACCTATCAGTCATTGGAGCCAAATGCAGTTCAGGAAAAAAGATGTTTATGGTTGTTGGATGACACTCATCTCAACTTCAGAATTGTCATCTCAGCTGCAGGAATTGTCTGAAAGTATCCAAGGCCAAAACTGCTTTATCAATTACCTTTGCTCAACGTATGGTCAAATAATGCTTGATGACTGCACAGCATCCAGATTCATTCACAAATCATCAGCAGACCATGTCTGTATGCAGCAATACCTGGATAAGATTCACCCATGGGCTGACATGGGGAAAGTAACATACAAGACACATACCAACCAGGCAATGACCATATGCTTCAAGTACCAAGGCGGGGAGTGGGAGGGGGGGTGGGGGGTGCTAGTTACCATTGACCATAAATTTAACCGAAATAGCCACACGAATAGCCTAACTATAACGGATCGAAAACAGGGTCATCTGTAACGAGTGACTCAGCTCTTGACAGGCTGGAGCCTTTCATCTGCAAAGCATCAGTCAGGAATATGATGGAATCATCTCCTTGCCAGGATAGGAGTAATGACCACAGCAGAAAAGTGGATTGGGGATAATCAGATCAGCAATGATCTCATTGAGTGGTGGAACAGACTCAATGAGTCAAATAACTTACTACTTCTGCTATGTCTTATGATCTTAGGGATAATGTGTTGAACAATGCAACCTCTGTGATTGACACATCAACGAAGATGTTAAATATTCCTCCACTGCTGGCACACTGTGGTACATTGTGCACCATCCATGAGATGAGTTATAAAAAATTGCTGAAGCATCTTTGAAAACAACTTTCCAATCTGCAACTTCTTCTTTCTTCTAGGTAGAGGGCAACAAGGATCCTGGAGACACATTGAATTGGACTTCTTTCAAATGGGGGAGGGAACTGACACCCGATATAGGGGGCTTTGTGTCACTATCACTCATTGTACATCAGCTACACTCATTGTACATCGCTTTCTTAGCTGGTTATTTATTATTGAGTTTATGAAATTAATATATCATACTGCCAATTGCACCACGGGATGGAATTTATTTCCGTGAATGTATATGGGGAAGCTACGGAAACAGGAATATCTTCAGCTTCCAAACAAGTCCATGACTCCACTGGATTTAACATCCTTTGGGCTGTTAGTGACCTCAGATCCATCTAGGAACAAGTCTTGTCAATTGGCCAATGTCTCTCTGGTCCCAGCAGCATCACCCGGATCAGTGGCCACTGCTGGGAATGCATCCAGTCCCCAGCAAGATTTGCCACTAGAGCTGAATGCAGATAAGTGGTAGGGGAATGGGTTGGGTATTGTTGGGGTCATGCTGACAGGCACTGGTAAGGAGAATGAGAGGTATTGGGGACTGTGGTGAACAGGATAGGAGAGGGGGAAATGCAGGGTTGTTTGTAGCTTGGCAGGGATACTCTGATCAATACAGGGTCCCACTTCTTCCTTGTCCTTGGCCTAAACAACATTTCCTGCCATGTTTCTCACTTGTCATCAGCCTCTGCCTGCTACCATTGAAGTGATGACCATTAATTAACTACCTAAGGGTCTCATTTGGCACAGCGTGACCACCCAATGCCTTTCTCAAAACTTTTGAGTGAGGGTATGATTGGCATGTATCTGACCGGAAAGGAGGCCATGGCATTTTACGGATCCCCATCTGTAAAAGTTGCAGGGGAAGTAAAAGTCTGCTCCCTCACTAATTCCACTCATACCATCCAGGCAACCATCCATTGCTTCATGAGTCTGAATGTGCCGGTGTAAATGTGCTACAGATGCTGTTTTCTGTCTGTGCCGCATTCTCGTCATTCTAGAGTACAGACTATTAATAATTCACTTTTGATTTATTTAAGCAAAGAATGACTTTTTTTTTGATTAATGGCATCATTTCAAGCTCTTCATGTGGCAAAGTAGATCTCAAGATATTTCAAACAAGGAAGCTTTCGCTTATTCCTTTTAATAGAGATGATGAGATGGACAGGTACAGAAGCTGAGTGGTTCTGATTGCAGAAAGTCTCCTTTCTGCTTTGCGGCTACAACTGTTCAGAATTAATGAAGGGCTTCCCTCTCCTAAGTAAGCTGAATGAATCTGGATAGTTTTCTATGAGTGGACATGTGTTCACAATATATTGTTACTAATTCTGGTATTAACTTGACACCAATATTGACATCAGGGTGGACAAGTCTGAACTATAGTTGATTTTTATCATTATGTTGGTAATGGGCATGTGTGCTCATTTAGGTCTCTTCTAGGTTCAGGATGCTTGGTTAAAGTAGATGGTGTAAATGTAAGTGTTGACGACCTAGTAAGTGTTTCATACATTGCTAGGATTTTCAGATTGAAAGTCTAGAAGGAGAAGGGCAGCAGTTACATGGGAACACCACCTGTAAGTTCCCCTTCAAGCCACTCACCATCCTGACTTGGAAATGTATTGCTGTTCCTTCAGTGTCACTCAGTCAAAATTCTGGAATTCTCTCCCTAATGGCATTGGGGATCATCCCCAACAATACATTGACTGCAGCTGTTCAAGAAGGCAGCGCCTTCCCAAGGGCAGCTAGGGACGGGCAATAAAACGTTGGCCGGCCACTGACAGCCACGTCCCACAAATGAATAAAAAAAAGTTTCAAAAAACGATCATAGTTTTGCAGAATTCTTCTCTGGGTGAGACATGCTTTGAGTTGTTAATGTTTCTTATGACATTTTCCCATACTTTTATAAATAAGTACACAAAGTACTCTTCAAGAATAGATGATATTTGGGGGTTGGTTAGCTCAGTTAGTCTGCATTGCCGAGTGATGCTAAGAACTTAGGTTCCTCACTGGCTGAGGTCACCATGAAGGCCCCACCTTCTCAACCTCACCCCCTGCCTAGGGTGTGGTCACCCTCAGTTTTAAACTCACCACCAGTTGTCTCTCTCTAATGAGAGAGCAGCCGCATGAGACTATGGTGACTTTACCTTCTTTAATCAGAGATAGTAGGAACTGCAGATGCGGGAGAATCTGAGATAACAAGGTGTAGAGCTGGATGAACACAGCAGGCCAAGCTGCATCAGAGG